AATCATTGAGATGTTTTTTTGATAATTTTTTTCTTGTGAATCATCTTACAAATGAATCATCTAATGATTCATTTTGTTTGTTAGCGAAAAAAAATATGTAGAAGCGAATTGGACCTGGGAGTCAAGTGGCCCAACTCGTCGAGTAGAAGCGAATTGGACCTGGGAGTCAAGTGGCTGACTCGGCGAGTCCGTGTTGTATGGACAAAAACCCTAATATGAGGCCTTGCACCCTATATAAACACATTAACTCGGCCTCCCTTGTCCCTAACACTCCCCTAGAGCTGCATATCGAAACCCTAGTCGTATATGTGTGTGTTAAGGCCATTTTTTGGCTTTTGTTGACTTGTGAAGCTTGGAAGGAAGAAGAGGAGCTTGAGTATTCGACTTGGGGCTTGTAGATCAAGAAATCTCATTCCATATTCAGCTTAATCAAGGTAAAATGCTCCTGTCTTGGTCTTTCATTTGGTTGTTCATCTTTAGTATGTGGATCTTGGGTGCATTTAGGGATTTTCAAGCCATTTTCGGATTTAAGGAGTGTTATATGGACTCTAGCTTCATATCTGGGCCTTAAGAGGGGTCTCATGGCATAAAGGTGCCAACTTTAGGGCCATGGGAGCCCCATGCACATTGTAGGACCCTTTATATGGATTTTTGAGCTAAAAACCTCATGCAGGTGCATCAAGTTTGGAACTTTATGTATAAAATGGACATTAGGAGGCCATATCTATGGTTTTGGTGTGTTAGACCTCATTTAAATCGACTGTGTGGAATTGGTCAAGGATGGACTCGGCGAGTTGTTCTTGACACTCGACGATTCGGTGACCATTGTGCACCAAACCCTTCCTGTGAATGGGTAAATGTTAGGAAGGAGGTCCCTTGTGGGTTTAGATGCGAAAAGGGACCTGGAAGCCATGGGACTCGGCGAGTGATATGAGCAGACTCGGTGAGTCCATAGCAATCTCCCAATCTTTGAAGATGGACTCGAAGATTTGTTCATACAACTCGGCGAGTCATAGACTAGACAAGTTCTTAAGTTGGAGATGAACTCGATGAGTTCAAGGAGGAACTCGGCGAGTCGGATGAAGATGGTCCCGATGTTATGATTGAAGGAGAACCCGTCGAGTTTTGCTAGACTCGATGAGTGGAGATGGGGTATGTGTGGGATTAGAGAAGCATGGACTCGATGAGTTGGTAGGCTAACTCGGCGAGTCAGGTCAACTGAATGCTGACTTTGACCAATGTTGACTTTGACTGAACTTGGACTGACCCTGTTTAGGGTTGTATGTGATGTGTGTTGACTTGAAGGTTATCGTGTAAAGATCGAGGAGTCGTAGGGAGCCGACTTGTGCACCGAGGATAGTTCAGACACTGCACGACATTGAGGTAAGTTACCTTCCAGTAGGGGTGGGTCTAAGGCCACAATGCCAGCCCACCAAAAAGAGGTATTTATAAGATAATGGTCTTTGTGATAATTATCTTGGTCTGGTTATGTGATTTATCTGGATTATATGTTATGTGTTTAGTAGGGATTAGTTTCCCTAACTGTGGTCCATAGGACCCACGGGGAGGTCAGTACTCGGATATGCCTGATTGTATGCTTATATCTTTTGATTGTAGTAGGGGTGAAATAGTCCCCAGTTACCGGTTGAAAGATACTGATGATGATTACCGGTTAAAAGATACCGATGATGGCTACCGGTTGAAAGATACCGATGAAGGTTACCGGTTGAAAGATACCGATGAATGTTACCGGTTGAAAGAGACCGACGATAATGTAGGCTATGTGGTATGATGGGGAAACTCACTAAGCTTTGTGCTTACAGTTTTGGTTTTGGTTTTAGGTACCTCTTCTTCGAAGGGGAAAGAGTCGGCGGCGTAGCAGCGCATCACACACACACACACATATTTCCGCAAGAAGTTTTTTTGGGACTGCACTCTGATTTTCTATACTTTTGATGTTATGGTTGAAATACAACTTTATGATTTTGTAATGGATGTTTATTGACAATGTCTTGGTAAAATGTTTGCTAAATGCGTTAATTCAAAAATGAAATTTTTGGCATTGAAAATTGGGTCGTTATATATATATATATATATATATATATATATATATATATATATATATATATATATATATATATATATATATATATATATATTGGAATTAAAGTGAATTTGTTTTATTCGTGCCCGTTCCACAACGGTCGAAAAGTAGACCTTTATCGTGTTTCGTCCCGTTACCACCCACACGCCGAATACCGTAACGTCGGAAAATGGGTACATGGGGCGATGTTTACGCCGTTATACTGACGTTTTTTGATGTACACGTCAGATTAACACGCACTCCCCTTGCCCATCCCGAGTGGTCTTAAAAGTTCATAAACATTTACAATACGACATAATGTCCCTGACTGCGTGTATCTCTACTAGTGTTACCCGAGACACACATCAAATAACAAGTTAAACTAAAATGTCTATGAGACATGTTTTGACTCCATATAAGTGCATGATATTTAAATAGTAAAATAATACAAGTGAGTGAAATAACATCCCTTCTCAAGTATCCTCACAACACATCTAACAATTAACCCAAACTCATCAACATCACATGGATTCAGGGAGTCATCCGTACATGATAACCCAAAATAAGGGGAAGAGTAGGGGAAACCCGCACACAAGGTGCTTGCGATTGGAAGACATCATAGACAAATATAGGTAGCTGACCCATTGGTGCCTACTGATCCTTCTATAATGATATGTGGTTTTCATCATAATCCATCCATAATGAACACCAAAATCACACAACATTGGTCATGACTTTATAACAAGACAAAACTGCAAATTTAATCCCTGTGGTTTTCGAAAAATTATGGATAGAGTCCAAAAAGTTTTCTACTTGCATTAAAGGTCTAAAATCAAGTTTTTTTTTCGTGATTTTGTCCCAAATTTAAGAAATTTCCATGGTTTTGGTCCAAAGAGAACTTAAAATGATGGTTTTACCCTTATTATTTATTTTTTACATTTTTTTGATTTATTTTACTATTTCATTAGTTATAAAAAAATAAAAAATAAAATCCCACCCACCCCACCCCACCCCCGCCCCACCGGTAACCCTCTTCCATCTATCTATCATACTCTCTCAAATCTCTCTCCCATCATCTTCTTCCTCATTCTCAACTGCATATCAAATCTCACATATAAACTTCCTCTATATATTCTCCTCGGTAATCTATATATATTTTGCAAGTATGGGAGTTATTTTCATGGAGATGAATCTGTTATATTTCAATTCGATGGCATCAGGAAGAAATAAATCGATTTTTGTGTATTTGCGACTGACGATTAACATAGACACACACAAATCGATGACTGGATCAACCGATAGAAGATCTAAAGAGAAAACGTGAAGATTTGGATTTGGATTTAGACTCAAGCTAAAATCAATGCTACCATTATCCACTTGAAATCAAAACCATAAATTAAAACCTAAAATCAAAACCATATTCGATACCCAAAATCAAACCGAGTAGGATGATGGTGATGAAAAAACATCATGATTCGGGAAATAAAAATCAAATGCTAAAAAATCAAACTTGATGGGATAGACGGTACAAGGAATTGGAAACACAATTTCACAAGGTTATAATTGAGGTTCATCAAATTACAGAAACTACAAGAGTTTTAAAGTTGATCATGATAGTTATGGCTTCATTATGGTGTTTATGATCTCCTGGTGCAATTTCAGAGGTGACTTACTAGATGAAGGTTATTTGATATAGATCCGGCGACAATGGCTCAATCCGCCTACAACAATTTCTCTCTAACCAATATAGCTAGGGGTCGAGATCTTTAGATACCACTTGAACCTTTGAGGCAAATTTCAGACCTATGGTTTCAACTGGTTTCGATGGTGGCTGGTTTTTCGATTTATGGAAGATATAGACGTCCATCAAAAACACCATCATGAAGAGGAAACACCGGGAAATTTCAACAGATGCCCAACAGAGCTTTTGAGTCATGTTTTCAGAATTATGGAAGATACAACAAGATGAAAGGTGGAGAACCGAGGTGAAAATTCTCGTGTGTGTATGTATGCGTGTGAGAGAGAGGGGGGCATTAGTGGGGGTAGACCCATTTTTTTTCTTTTTCTTTTTTAAAAAATTATTTAAATACTAAAATAAATAAAAAATATAAATAGAAATAATAAAGGCACAATAGTCATTTCAACTTTTTATGGATCAAAACCACAAAAAATTCTTAATTTTGAACATTCTATGCAAGTTGAAAACTTTTTGGACCGTATCCATATATTTTCGAAAACCACATGGATCAATTTTACCGTTTTGTCTTATAACAACAAGCAATCTAAACCTCAGTTGAAGAATATTTAGATTCATAGTCTTTTTTTTTTTTTTTTTTTTTTTTTTTTTTTGTTTAAAATAAAAACTTTAAGTTCATGGTGCTCAACAAAGTTTTTTATTTAATTTTGAGCTTTTGTTAAAAAGTAAAAAACTTCCGAAAACTCTTAAATGCTTGTAACCAAACACGGCCATAATATAGTTGGATCGATAAAATTAAGATTACGGGATCAATTACACTTATTATATCTTGCTACTAGAAGTTTTTATAAAAAAAGAAAAAAAAAGATGTTCAAGACATATATATACAATGGATCTAATCATCTAAATCTCTAATAAAATCTCAAACGGATCAATGATGAAGCCTCACTATCAGTATCATAAAAGAAAATTTAATTGATTTCTAATTTTTATATTAGAGGTTTAAACAACTTTATCAATAATCGATAACGGATAGTAGCGCGTGGTTGACAAAAAGATAACGCACCAAAACAATCTTTTTGAATAATGTAAGAAGTTAGAAAAAGATTGATTATTTGATTATACTGAGCTTCTCTTTGTCAAGGTGTAATGAACAGACAAATTGACACTGTATAAAATAGGACGAACCCCACACCCCCACACACTTCCATAATTTAAAACCAACGTTTGGGACCTTTCGCCATGAAAACCCATGGGCCCCACAGGCCACACAGATATGATTCGACCACATTTCCATTTTCCACACTGTTGAAGAACAAGAACAACACAAAGAAAAAGAAGCCACCCTCCTCAACTGATGTTAGATTCAGAATAAAAAAAACAAAACAAAAAACAAAAACAAAAATTCAAAGAGAGAGAAAAGTTGGTGGTGGGTAGAGAGAGAAAGTTGAAAAAGTTAGATGAAAAAGGGGGGTGAAGAAGGAGAAGAAAAAGGTGGGGGAGAGGAGGAGGAGCCACCACCAAAAAAGCAACAAAATTTAGGGGAAAAGTTAAGGAGAATAGCAGGCAAAAGAGGCGGACAATTAACCCCTGTTTTGCCCTTCCGTGTTCAAATCAGCAACGGTGGTGCGCAAGATAGCGTCGGCGGTGCGCAAGATAGAGAGTTGGTAGCAGAGGAGGAAGAAAACCCTGGTTTGAGTCTCACAGTTTCTTTGCCTCCTTCTGCTTCTGCTAGAAAGCTTGCTGCCACTTTTTGGGAGCTTCACCAGTACAGACTTCCTTTTGCTAAAATGCACAACGGTGGTGGAGGCGGAGGGAACAGGAGGAACCACCGGTATCAGCAGCTCCAACACCATCACCATCATCACCTCCGGCATCATCTTCTCGAGGATAACCATGATCCTTCCCCTGCTTCCCCTGATCTGGTAAAAATCATTTCTTTATGCTTTACATCTTAAAATCTTGATTGTCGTGATTCTATGACGCTTCTTTCTATCTTGTTAATGGATCTGATATGCAAACTTTGTTGATTTACTTGATCCATCGATGGATTTTCTAAATTCTTGATTACGATGTGTCATGGATGGTGGGGATCATTCCCTTTAATGATAGTTGAAGTGTCTTTTCCTTATTTCAGAATTCTTCGGATCACATTTATTCCCATTTCAATTATGAATTTTGCCATTTAGGTTATCGACATAAGTTAGAAGCTTTTAATACCTTAAACATTTCAGCGAAAAAATCGAAATTACTTTCGGTGCCTTTTGACAACTGAGACTCCCAGAATCCTAACCAAAATCGGAATACTCTTGTTTGTTGACTGGTGGCGCCGCCCTAACGGGGTGGTGGCCGGAGCTTGCTCTAGGTTTTCTCGATCATTTGTTTCACCAGAATTAATACTATCAATATGATTTACAATGAATGCAGGGGAGTGCGAGTACTTTAAGAAGACACGTGGCGGCATCACTGATGCAACATCACCGGACGACTCAAAGAAACCAAACCGCCATTAGAGCAGTCTCACCTGCAAGTTATGGAAGTAGTTCAATGGAGGTCGCACCTTACAATCCAGCTGTCACTCCCACAAGTTCTATAGAATTCAAAGTAGGAAACGGAGAAACAAATTATAATCTCAAAACATCCACGGAGCTTCTTAAAGTTTTAAACCGAATTTGGACTCTCGAAGAACAACACACAACAAACGTAAACCTAGTTCGCGCTTTAAAGCGCGAACTAGACCTGTCACGGGCCAAAATCAAAGAACTGGCCCGGGACAGACAATCTGATCGCCATGAAATGCAACATCTTATGAATCAAATTTCACAAGATAAACAAGGTCAATCCGTGAGAGACGAGCTTGAAGATGAAAGAAAATTACGAAAACGGTCCGAGATGCTTCATAGGAAATTGGCTCGGGAGCTTTACGAGACGAAAACGACCCTTGCAAACGCGTTACGTGACTTGGAAAACGAGAGACGATCGAGGGTAATTTTGGAAGATCTGTGTGATGAATTCGCTTGGGGGATTAAAAACTATGAACAAGAATTGCATAATTTTAAGCATATAAACCCCGATAAAAGAGCGGTCCGTGACAGTTTGATTCTCCATATATCCGAATCTTGGCTCGATGAGCGAATGCAAACAAATCAAGAAAAAACTACGAAAAAAAACTCGGTAGTTGAAAAGTTAAGTTCAGAAATCGAAACTTTCCTTGATGCGAAACGAAACGGTGCACGCGGGTCAGGATCGATGGTGGGACCCACGGCTCGAAGGCGGCAGTCGCTCGAGTCGATCGCGTTGAATTTGGCGGCTAGTGCTCCTCCTGATGATGGTGATGATGGTTCTTCAGATGGTGGTGATTCACCTTGTTTTGAGCTCGATAAACCGGTTGCCCGTGGAAAGGGCGAAATCGTAAATTCAACTACAAAACCGGATCACGGTAAGAAGAAACTTGCAACCCAAGTAACGGGAAAAGGTCGTGATTCTTCTAGCTTGCAGGTGAAGTTTGAAGAACAAATGGCTCAGGCGATATTAGGTCAAGAAGAGACAAAAATAAAAACCGAAGAGGAAAACCATGTAGAAATAACCGAAGAAGAGGTAGGTTTGAACTCGAAATACTTGGATAATTTACTAAAAAACCACTATTTGCAAACGGGAAATGACGTAGATGCCCCTGGTAGTAAACCAGTATGGGAAAGTCATCCAAGTCCCGTTCGAGGATGGACCACAAAGCTACCCATAGAAGATCTTGAGATTTCCGAGTCAAAGTCAAAAGTCACACCCCAGTCAAAGGACCAAACGAGCTTAAAGTCAAAGCTACTCGAAGCACGAACACGGGGTCAAAGATCTGGCACTCGGGTTAAATCTAACAAGATCTCATTCTAAACGTATTATCTATTTCTTTTTCTTTCTTCCTGTGCATAATCTACATATCATTGTAACATGTTTTCCAGTTTTCAATACCATAATATGCTTACATTCCTTACAACATTGTCAAAACAACAAATAAAAAAGAATTATGAACATTAAGTGATCTTGAAAACATAGGAGAGTACGCCTTTTCTTGGATTGGATTCGATTATTGTCATTGTTCTTTCATCCAAATCAATCACAGCCGTACATAAGGTGTAAAGGGTCGGACCTGAAAACATGCAATTAGAAAACAAGAACATGGAATTTTAATTGTATATGCATTGAAACATGTTTAAATACTGTACCTTGCATATAGATAGGATACTCTTGATCACCTGTGTCTCCAAGGAGTGAAAGAAGGTCAACCTTTGACTTTTTGGGAAGCAAAGCTGCTCGGTTTTGTCTGCTTATTGAGTTTTGATCGTGTACCTGGTTTACTTGAAGATGAAGGTACATATTGGCATGGAAGAAAGGGGTTGACCCGATTTCATGAACTGAAATTCGTTGACTTGATGCAGTCTCAACGTTCAGGATCTTTCTTAAGTTTACATCTAATAAATTATAGCTGTGTCCGATTGAAACTTGTGATGAACGAATCCTCTGTAAAAAGCCTTGATATAGTCAAAACACACCAGAAAAAAGTTAATTTTATCTGAAGAAACCAGAAACTTACACTAATTGCATCATCGATGCTTGTGGCTTCAAGAAGGTCTCTAGAAATGAAGTTCCGGCCAATCCCACCGGCTACAATCTCTGAATCGGTTGGTGGTACTGAGTTTAGTGTAAATGCCTACACAAAAAGTGGCATATTTATCAGCTTTGAATCCATGTTTTTGCGTTTGTGATAATGTATAAGTGAGAGGGTGAGTAATTCAGTACCAGACCATGGTTATTGAAACCAAATGCGCAGCTTGGGAGCTCGCCTGCGTATGTGTAAGCTGTGTAAGATAATCCATTAGATAGTGTTGCTTTAATCAGATATCTGCAATGGTCATAAAGTTGGGGATCGATAATCTAGCAAAAGATGAACAGTTACAAGGATTTATAGAGTTTGAGGTTACGTATGGCCGACAAGAGCGACATTAGCATCTTCGTTATGAGCTGCAACAGCCATTGTATCACTAACAACAAGAATATCTGAACAGTCATCAATCGTCTCTTCAACTTCTATTTTTTCTGACTTTGGGATGAACGGGAGAATCTCTTTCCGGAAGTTTAAAATCATAATCTGACACACACAACACAATCGCTCGTTTTGTAATCGGAATTGGGGAAATTGAAAATGTATTAGATGAATTTGCGTACATGAAGAAAAGGGACTCCAGATCCATTTGCGATTCCTCGCATTTCGTTCCAGTAATCTGGGAACTTGGTGGAATTGTTGTGGGAGAGAGAATGGAGGAGGGACTGTGCTTGTGGGGTTTGAGAGAAAGGGAGAAGTTGGTGGTTGAATATGGAGTCCGTGGAGAGTCTGCTTCTTATGAGGTTGGAGAAATGGTTGCCAATGGAGAAACCCATTTGGTAGGAATCTTCACAGGGACCGAATTCATAAATCTCCAAGCTCTTCTCGGCTTCCATGGCTGTTCCTCACCTTATCTTTATTTAATACACAATGGCAACATAATCTGATAATCGCCCCTTTAGAAAAAGCATATGCCTGAGTTTGAGTGAATTGCAAAAATCACCCCCTCACCTTTCTCTTCAAGTGTTTACTTTTATTTTTATTTTTGTGAGCACTCTTCAAAAGGATTTCAAAGTGTAACCATAAACAAGCCTATTAAAATCTAGAGGCCCAAAAGTTTATTAGCCTTTGTATTAGCGTAGGTTCACTTTTTAGCTCAAATAGTATTAGGTTATGGATCAACGAAAGAAATGAACGAAAATAAATGAACGACACAAGCGGGAATCTGAAAATTTTGGGAAAAAATAAAGCTTAGGTTCCTTCAATATCGTAAACAGTAATTACGATTTAAACATATGAATAATTTAATGATGTCGGGGAAATAGCGAATCGTTGAGCTCCTTGATAATAATTTCTTTCTGTCGTTCTTTACTTAAAATCATAAAAATCATTCATATGAAACCTTTCAATCTTTCAACAAACATCATACGAATTTCAGAAGTATTGAGTTCTTGTTTCTTTCTTTTTACTTATTTCTTCATAAATCTTCAATAATCTTCATAAATCTTCGAAATTTGATTCGAATTAGAAGTCTTCAATCATCAACAAAAGATGTTGAAAATCAGGATTTGGGTTTGTGGAGTAGGGAAGAAAATCTAAATGTATTATACACTTTTTTTTTATCTATATGATACATATATGATATCGCTTAGATGTTGTATGGTAATAAATAATGTTTCTTTTTTCATGGGATTTTTTTATAAAAAGAAATTAAGATTTGAAAACCATAATGTATTCTCATAAATAGCACCTCAAATTTTTAGTAAATCTGTTTTTCCATTTCATTCATTCATTATGATTCCTATTTTCTTGATATCATAAGTAAAATATGTAAATCCATTTTTTAGATTTTGAAGTTTTTGATTCTCGAATTGTTTGAAGTTTCAGAAATCAGAATGTAAATTACTATATTTTTTACTTTCTAAGTTTTTTTATTAGAAGAAAACGAGACTTTCTCTAAACTGGTAATGTAATATAACATTATGATTTTTTTAATAACTTGTTTCTAATTTTTAACAAGTTTTTAAAGGACAAGAGGTGTTAAAAACTTTACTACTTGAGTTTGAGAGTCGATAAAACTTTTGGATAAAGTTATTTATAAAGATATTACTAAAAAATTTATTTCAATGATATTAGAAGAATGAGTGTTTTCTAAGTAGAATAATTATGAAGTTTTAGTTTATGTATTTTGCAATAGAATATGAAAAATTATAATAAGTTATTGTCATTGTAACCCAACAAACTTATTGCTTTTGGTTTGAATGGTCATTCGTGATATGTTTTTGCATTATAGAGGCATGAAGTCCATTTTAACATGTTTATTTCATACCTAGACTTGTTTTAACGAGTTTCCATTGCCAACTCATGTCTATGTAGGATTATAGAGGCCACCTAATGTATGACTCTACTCAACGCATGTCAATTTTATCTTTGACTTGGAAAAAGTCAAAATTAAGTCCTTAGACAATAACGTTACACGTTTTTACTTTGAATGTTACACATTTTAATATGAGCGAGAGAGGGTTTACCTGAAACCATCTTCAAGCTGATGCCATATGTTTTTCACTTCTTCTTTAATTCTTCAAGCCTGTTCACGTGCTTAAGATTTATGACAAAAAAGAGGTTGCAATACCTTTAGCATCTTTTACCACCTATAGTCTTCCTCTCTTTCTCTTTTATTTATAAACCTGCAACACGAGGAAAACCAATGAGAAATCAATCATCGACTACCTCTATAGAAATCATTCATCTTTCAAAACATGTAATAAACCACCTAACCAAAACCATAAATTAGACTACTCATACATGATTTAAGTCTAAAAAACGTTATGCATTTCTGATGTGCACAAAAATACCTACTAGTCTTAAATTTATAACCTAACAAACTTTTACCAACTATATGTACTTATAGGCAGTGTACCTAGTCAGATTATAGAATAACTCAGGTAAGTTGGGTGTCGATCACAGGCAATAGAATTCAATTAAATAAATTAAATAATTCTAATTAAACTAAGAAACAAATTATGATCGAGGGTTTTTACTAAATTTTCAAGATCATAAGAACTTAAATTAAACTATTATCAACTAACAACCAAAGAAACACAAATTTACTTCAAGAATTAAAGAGTACTTCTGCTTAGATCCGATTTCACCTTCTTATATGGTTGATTTCTAGTAGATGGAATATATCGATTACCGACTTGTTATCTAGCTATTATGATCATGCACAAGTTTAACACTAAATTGATAGTGAGCACAAATTAGACTATGAATGATAAAAGTTACTTTCCTATGATCAAGTTAAGCAACCAAGCATAATTTAAGATTAATTATGCTCTCTAACACATTTTAAGTTACTAGCTTTAATTACCTAGTCTAAGATGTGATTAATCCTAGCTCTAATTATTTAATGATCATAAACAATTAGGAAAGCAAGTTCATACAAATAGAATGATCATATACTACACTAAACTCATATCAAGGCATTCAAAGACTAGAACTAAACATGCTAGGTTTTGATTATCAAACATAAGTAAATTCAACATAAAACATCCAATATTCGAAATCAACACATATGATCAGGGTTCATCTTCACCAAATAGAAGTATGGGGTGATTAGCCCATAAATAAAGTAGAAACAAACAATAAATCTAAGTTAACTAGAAAATACATGGTAAAATCTAGCAAACCAAACGATTTGATGATGTTCATTATTTAATTCTCTTCAATTCTTGCAATCTAATAGATTCCTGGCATTCTCTAGGTTTTACAAAGGGTTTTAGTTGTAAACCGTATCTTATTCCTCAAGCCAACCTCTTAAATTCGACCTAATATCCACATATTTATAGTTTCCATATATCTGACCACCACAATGTGGTTAACCGCCACCACATTGTGGTTTTTTATGAAATCCCGTATGCGTCAAGTCACCAAAACTTCTAGGTTAGGATGTGACAACTGGAAAATATTAAGTCCAGCAAGGTCTAAATTATAACAATGTACAAGTGATTTTACAACATAATTTGTTGCAATAAAATTGTGAAAGCCAAAAGGGCATCATTTGTATGATTAAACACACACACACACACACACACACACACACACACATATATATATATATATATATATATATATATATATATATATATATATTAGCCGTTCATCCACACCAAGCGATGGATGCAAATAGTTTTTTCACAAATTAGTTTCTAGAGATGATTACTTCTTTTTTTCATAAATGGTTTAATGTTTTACATTGTTGACAAAGTAGATACATGGTCAGGCGTTGAATGTGGGGGAGGCAAATTGTTTTGATTCAACATGTAGTTTCATTTCAGTTGTTAGTATTTAGGATTTAGCAGGGTCGAGATGTTTCAGCTACTTAATTTCAGTTTGTTTTGATTATAACAATGTACTTTGAAATTTACTCCTAATGTCATGTTGTATTATAGCCATTATGAAAAATAACCACAAATAAGATCCTTGCACATATTATTTTAGTATCACACACTTTTACGAAATCATTATTTGCAAACTGCTTAATCTTTTTAACTTAATAATTATATATTTCAACCCATGCATTATACTTTTCTTTAACTAAATGAAAGGTTTCAAATATTTATTTTTCATATCATAGATTTTAAAAAGTAAATTTCCAGTTAGTAAACGCCTAATCTTTTAAATTGCTCTAACGCATCGATTAATTAAATTGAAGATGACTTTATATATAAATAAGTAAAAGTTATTTTTTAAACCAATTATGTAATTTGGGCAATGATCCATTTTCTAATCGGTTAAAGAAATTCATACGAAGTATGACCAAGTTGATTTTATTTTCATATCTTACAAAATATTATTTGATTTTCGATGAAATAAACATAAACTTCTAATATATGAAGTATGACCAAGTTGTCCTTTATCATTAAACATTATAATGCATATAGATATTTGTGGTGGTTGTCTATTTGCATGTGTATTTAAAAAGTATTTATTGAGATGAAGAAATTAAAAAATGACATTTTGTATGTTGAAAATTGTTGATTAGTTTAATTTGAAAATATGTTATATTCCAAAAAGACAAAAACACATAAAATTAACAGACTTAATAATATATATATATATATATATATATATATATATATATATATATATATATATATAAAGGTCTCAAGAAAAGGAATAGTGAACTTATCATTTTTTTGGTAGAATTGGTCTCTCATTTTGCTCCTCATTTTTTTTTTATCTATTTTGATAATTTTGGTCATTGCAATCAATATTTTTATACTTTTTAGAAACCTTTTAATATTTAAAGTTTGGCCATAAAACTTTAACGGTTTGACAACTTTGATCCATTTTCTAAAAATTTGCTAATTCTTACCCCTTTAATTCTTTAACCGTTTTGACACTTCTGATCTTTGCAGTCAAACTCTTTACATTTTTTCATAAAAACATAAAAAAAAAAAAAAAACGGTTCAGGGCAAAGTTCGAGTTTTCCATCCTTGCACTTTCTACGTCTGTCATATTTGTTGATTCGGAAACAACATTGAAAGCTTCTGCCCCCCGCGTAGCGGGGTAACCTTTTTAGTTTAACATTAAAATTTTAGAATCATTTTATATGATATATACATTTTTTTTTTTTCATGAATGGTTTTCTTTGGGAGTATAATATATCATTATTTATTTATAAGATAGTAACTTGAAAAAATTCAACATACATGAGTAAGAATCATATTCTATGAGTACATGCACGAAGCCACGAATAATACAAAACGAACATATAAATACTTAGAAGCCACAAATAATACAAAACAAACCTATAAATACTTAGTCGTGGCCAGAAGCAATATAAAAAAAGTTGGTCTTGTATATTGATGTAGATTTGTTATGTAAAATTTTAAATGCTCTATATTGATGAAAAGTAAGAGGTTTTACATAACAAAGGCTCATTTTTTAAACATGGGTTAAGCATAAAACAATATAATATATTTTATTCTTTGGGAGGACAACATATCATCCTTTCCTTCAAGATGTTTATCTTATTACAATCTAAA